CCCTGCAAATGGAAATTGACCCCAGGAACAAAATGGAAAGACCAAGTACAGAACGACCTGCCTGCGAAGTGCAGAAGGACTGTCTGCACTTGGAATGAACAACTGTCGCAAAGCTGCAAAAGCGAGAAGCATTTCTCGAAGTTTTTTGGCTTCGGCGCAAACCGACAAGCGGTTGTAGTGCCAGAAAATCATAAGATAATTTGTGCAAAAAGTGAAAACCTTAAGACCTGTAAAATATATGTTTTGGTGAGGTGGAGCGAAATCCTCTGATGTTTGGATTTTCGAACAATTTTTTGTTGAGTTAGTGTTAGTGTCATTCGCATTTAAGGGGCTACTTTAACAGTAAAGTAAGTATGTAGAACTAAATTTACGACAAGCACGTCAAAAGATCGCAGCTAGCGTTTCTTGCTGCTTAGCAGGTGCGAAATTTGAAGTACATATTTTTCGTATATCATTGTTACGTACATAAAGATTACATTCCTTTAGATGCTTACATCCACGCTTCTCTTATCTCTGACTAAGAAAATTGTTTCTTGCATGCGTCCGATACAGTAACTATAACCTTGTTTATACCCACATATAAAGCGCGTTGACTAGTTCGCTGTGATTCAAAACGGATGCATAAACAAAATCCCAATACACTTTGAAATTCAAAAGTATATTTACCTTGTTTATATGACATCAAACACGGTATCGAATAAACTCGTGCCATTGTTGCTCGCTTGAAATGCAAGTGTTTATATGCAACAAAAGAAATGACTCGGTCGAACACACTTTTCAAACTGTGTTCATCGCGATGCAACCCTGTTAATATATGCGCCAATTCTTTAAATTAATAAACAACCAAAAAATAATAATTAAAGACTCAAACAGCCGCAAAGAAGGATCTTAGCTATTAATTTTATAATAAAGCTTAGCATAAATGTAATTTATGGAACTGTTTAAATGCATACGGAGTTGCATGAAACAACCGTGTTGACTAATTCCGTGTTTATGCGAACGCTTAATACGATCCAACAACTCTTAACTCGCATTCATAATGTAATTTACGGTGGCGCGGTTAAAAGTTTCAATTCGATTGTGTTTGCATTCATTTAACGCGAAGTCAAAATTGGCTAGTTTTCTTTTTACAGCCCGTTTTTAATATGAATTTTCTATATACATATATAAAACAAAGTCGTGTTAGTTACACCATTTATAACTGAAGAACGGCTGGACCAGTTTTTGATATGTGGTTTTTGAATTTGTCTACCTTCCGAATAGCAGAATAACTATTAAAACAACCGCTAGGTGGCGCTGGAGTCGAGTTATTAGTAAAACCAGTATTAATGGTCCGATTCGCCTCATATTTGGGATATGTATTGACAATAGGATAAACAATACCATTGCAAAAAAAGAGCCGCCAGGTAGCGTTGGAGTCGAGTTATTGCTAAAAATCGTGTTGATGGTCAGATTATCCTCAGATTCAAAATATGTATTGATAACAAGAAACAGAATTCTTTCGAAAAAAATTTGCCACCAGATGGCGCTGAAATTGAGTTACATGTATATATGTTACTAAAAATCGTATTTATGCTCGAATTTATTTCATTTTCGAAATACATGAATTCACATATCGATGGTCCTATGCAATGACGACACAACTCAAAATTCAAAAAATCAAATCCCTTATTACTGTCAACAGGCTCATGTCTCTCATCTTTGGCTAACCTATGTCTAATCCTAACTAAAGTAAGTAGTAAAGATTATCTATATCTATACTAATTATATAAAGAGAAGTCCCTTTTTTTTGCAACAGGTAATCTCCGTGGACGGCTCGCCCGATTTTCATGAAATTATGTATATAGATAGCTTTCAGCAACTACCATGTTTTAGGGCAAAAAAATGTACTTTATTCCGGTAAATGGGCCAGCGACCGATCTATCGAGAAAAAGATAGATTAGCATATAGGATCCTTTTTTTACGGGAAGTGGACCAGGGATCGATCTATTCGAAAAAATCGTACTTATGGTCCGGTTTGCTTAAAATTTGGTATGTAGGTAGCTTTTTGCCTAGATTAGCATATAGGATCCTTTTTTACGCGAAGTGGACCAGCGACCGATCTATTAGAAAAATCGAATCTATTGTCCGATTTGATTAAAATTTTGTATCTAGGTAGCTTTTTGCCTGGATAAGCTTCATGCAATTTCGAATATATGTAAATAGCTTTGAACAACCACCATATCAAGGGGGGAATTCGTCACTAGCCAAGTTTTTTTTTGCGACAATCAGAAATAACGGATGCAGTTAAAATATAATAATAATATATAATATATCTATACTAATATATATTTTGAAAGCCGTTTTTTTAGTGGAGAACGGCTGAACCAATTTTTTGAATTTTCAGACACCTGCAGCACGAACCCCAAGGATGGTTTTAGGCTAAAAAAAATTCTATATGTAAAGGGGAGTGGCACCTCTAACACAAACCGAATCTTTTGGTAGAGTTCTGGAACTTGGTATGGAGATATACGAAATCAACCACATACTCTTAGAGAAAAGTTGGAGCTATTGGAAAAAGAGGCGTGGCACCTCTAATACAAACCAAATTTTTCATACTACATATCTCTGAAAGTGTTCATGGTAGAGTTCTGGAACTTTATATGGAGATATACGAAATCAATCGCATACTCTTGGAGAAAAACTTTAGGTATTGGAAAAGGGGGCGTGGTACCTCCCCTACAAAACCAATTTTTTATATGCATATCTCTGGAAGTGTTCATAGTAGAGTACTAGAACTTGGCATCGAGATATATAAATCAATCTTGGGGAAAAATTGGAGCTATTGTAAAGAGGTGTGGCACCTCCCATACAAACCGAATTTTTCATACTGCATATCTCTGAAAGTGTTCATGGTAGAGTTCCGGAGCTTGGTATCGAGATACAAGAAATCAATCGCATAATCGTGAAGAAAAATTGGAGCTATTGTAAAGAGGTGTGGCACCTCCCATACAAACCGAATTTTTCATACTGCATATCTCTGAAAGTGTTCATGGTAGAGTTCCGGAGCTTGGTATCGAGATACAAGAAATCAATCGCATAATCGTGAAGAAAAATTGGAGCTATTGGAAAAGGGGGCGTGGCACCTCCCATATAAAGCGAATTTTTCATACTGCATATCTCTGGAAGTGTTCTTGGTAGAGTTCTGGAACTTGGTATGGAGATATACGAAATCAATCGCATACTCTTGGAGAAAAAATGGAGCTATTGTAAAAGAGGGCGTGACACCTCCCATTACAAACCGAGTTTTTCATACTGCATATCTCTGAAAGTGTTCATGGTACAGTACTGGAACTTCGTATGGAGATATGTATGTATATGAAATCAAGCCCATACTCATGGAGAAAATTTGGGCTATTTGAAAAGGGGGCGTGAAGTTTACAAACGTAGCGACCTTTAGCTTTCTTTGAATGTATTTGTAATTATTCTGTGGGTGTGTTTGTGAGGGAAATCCTCCTAAATGGTTGTACGGATTTTAACGAAATTTTTGTGTGTGTTTGAGTGGGTCTCTGTATGGTTTAGTTTCACAATTTAATTCGCCAGTTGGCGCTGTAGTTACTAAAAATCGTATTTATGATCCGATTTGGCTAATATTTTAAATATGTATTGGTAATGGTAAGAGCAATAGTATTGCAAAAACGTGCTGCCAAGTGGGCTTGGAATGGAGTTGTTACTAAAAAAAGCCAAGCGAGAAAAGGTGCCGTGAAGGTCTGATTAAACCGACCTGTAGCATCATTGAGCATATCGAACTCTACTGTGTTACTATTGTCCCAATGGATGTGATTTTCAAGTATTATTATGCGTTCTAGCTTTTAAGGTATTTCGTCTAAGTATATGTATGTATATTGCCTTTCTGTAGAAAAGGATTCGCACCCATTTTGAAATTGCCACCAACTATACTGTAAAGCTTCTAGGACAGATTCACTATAGAACCGGGTCATTATTGCCGCCAGGGAGTGAAGATGAAAATATTCTTCATTTCATTTATTTCGTTTTGCGAATAACTGTGCTATGAAATGCTGCACAGTTGGAGAATTTCAAGAATTTCTTCACGGATATGACACTTTCCTTAGGATATTTAGAGCGGAAATTGACCACCAAACCATAATCTAAGCAGATGAATGTGCCAATGAAAATCGTAAACGTGAATTGTTGGTAAAAATGTTGGACCAAAAAGTTTCAATAAAAAAATAAAAATTGTGGGCGGGACGAAGTTCGCCGGGTCTATTAGTTATTATAATAAATTTGAATTATTTTTCGCTTCCATTTCGGTCGATCAGGCAAATTTATTACCAAGCAAATGTCGAATAAAAACAGCATGGAGTGGAGAAATATGTATTGAGTCTAGTAGGTTTGTGGCTCTTGTGTAGGCATAAACAAGGTATATAATTAGCGCCAGAAACTACTTGTAGTTTGAAAAATATGTACGTATGTATGTAGATTAGTAATGTATGTACATATTTGTAAGCCACGAAATTTTTATAAAAAAGTTAGCTTTATAGCACAACCATTTACAGACGTTCAAAGACACCAAAAACATAGAGACACATTCATAAACAGTTTATGGATACACATATGCATGTACATAGGTTTACATTCGCACACATTTTTCGATGTCAATCACATTTGTTAGAATACATGTGTTACATACAAGTAGTAGAAGTAGTAGTAAGTATGTATGCAAAGACTCGTTATCAGGCCTTCAAATAATAAGTTCCATAACGCTGAGAAAAGAGTCAGCTAAATATATTTCTCCCAACATAAGATATGGTAATTATAACTAAATCATGTAACTATAACCAAATCATGTGTTGACGTAACTAAACTCTTTTCTCAGTGTATAATTCATAGTATAAGTACTTTTTGTATGCAAAAAAATGTTGGAATTAAGAGTGTATACAAGTATAACGCATGAAGCAGTCAGTGCGTGTCTTTTCATTTTCGTGTATGTACATACATACCTCCGCATAGTGCTCTTCATTTTGTTGCAGCAAGTCAACGCAGAGCTCAGCTAAATGTATCAGGTCTTCGAGCTTCTTCGTTGCTGCCACAACGATTTCCCCACGGAGGTCCTCTGAAAATTTCCAAAAAACATCTTGGGTTAGTTAGTCGAATTTATTTATTTATGAATATGTTTAATTAAATGTTTATATTTATAAAGGGAGTATTGAAAAAATGCCTAACGGAATTCCGAGTGTTAATCCCTTAAAACTCGAGATAATAAAGAACATTTTATGTAGAACATTTTCCGAGTCTAAAAATTACTTGTATAGATCTCGAGCAGCAACTTTAACAGACAGTCAGAATTGGGAAGGACCACTCCGAGCAATTTCCCAGCAAAAAACACGATTACCACAGAAACGAAAGTGGAAACGAGCTAGGCGATGGGAATCGCTTCCCCTATCGCTTCAAGAAGGCCTTATTTTAACATGGGCATGTCATTGGAGGTAAGCCCTTACTCGCAGCATTACCTCTAAACGAAGGGAGAACGCATGGATAAACAGAATCCAGAGAAGCGAACAAAGAATGCCTTACAGAGAAACTAATGTAGAATGCCTATATAAGTACATACTTATTTATATTAAATTGAAATCAGAAAATGTGTTAAACGATTAAAATTAATTAAAATTTTTATAAATCAGCTTTTATACATACATATGTATTTATTTAGGTATTTAGATTTTCTTAAAGATCGGTATGTACATACATGCATATTTAATTAAGCTTAAAATTGTACTTCCTCTCTCTTGTACTTCACTTCATTGACTGACTTCAACTTCGCTGCAAATTGAACAAAGCAAAACCTGATTTTTATGCGAGACAAATTTCCACATAAAGTAACGGTAGAAAAAGAATTTTTGGATATTCATTCTATTTTTCAGCTGACTTCGATGCAGCATTCTACTTTGCATTCCTCGAAATGAAGAAAAGAAGCGAAATAAAAAAAAAAATATTGTAGGACATTCTACTTTGCATTCCCTGAAATGAAGCAAAGAAGCGAAACAAATAAAATATTGGAGGACATTCTACTTTGCATTTCCGGAAATGAAGCAAAGAAACGAATTAAAAAGAAATATTATAGGACATTCTGCTTTGCATTCCCCGAAATCAAACAAAGAAGCGAAATAAATAAGATATTGTTGGACATTCTACTTTGCATTACCGGCAATGCCTAAAAGAAATGAAAAAATTCGAAGGCATTATAACGCTATGCCTTCTAGAACACGTTACCACTAAAAGCGATTACCGATTTTTTGCTGGGTTGATACCAAACTAAGTTTCAGACAAGGCAACTCCCTTTCGTGTGATCTTCTAATCTGATGTTGAAGAAGGTAATAAGAGCCGCAGAGCTGAACTGCTCAGGTACAATGCTTTACAAGAGCGCATAGATGACGACATCGACATTATCGGTAAAAATATTACATCTGTTCTGCTTTCTCGGGATTAGACAAAGAAGCAAAGCGAATGTATCTGGTGGTGAACGAGGACAAAACGAAGTGTCTCTTGCAATCACATGAACAGTCAGATCATACGCGTCTTGGCACCCATGTCACGTTGACAGTTACAAGTTTGAAAAAGTAAACTACTTCGTTTATTTGGGAACCAGCATTAACACCAATAACACTGTACAGCACTTGGCTGGGATTTGAACAAAACCAACTTCTTTTAAGAGACTGAGTCATAATTAGTTAGCCTTCGAAATCGAGATACGGGCCTTCGAAGTTCGAAATTGGAATGAAAACTGTCTGCATTCATCCGATAAGCACAACAGATGTCTGCAAATTTTGCCAACAACTTTTTTTTACAGTTTTCCATAAAAATTTTTATAGTAATGTATACATCTTACAGATATTGAATGTCATTATAAGGTGCTTCGGCGGGGGCAGTGAAACGAAACCGGATTTTCACGTAAAATCGTACTCTTGAAAAGGCGTATATCTCGTAAATTTACTTTTTCGTACTATGTTAATTAAAATTCATCTTTAAACATATACAATTTCATTGAATAAATGCCATCCAGCGCGTATGGGGATCATGATTCAATAATTAAAGGTACGATAAACTGGCAGTTGTCTCTCTCTCGCACCGCTCCCTTAGTAATGGAACCGTGGTGCTTCTTTGCAAATTTACTTGAAAAAATGTAGCTTACGTATGAAACAGAAGTATACATATTTGTGCACTATGTTTATTTTTATATGCATATACAGCGCATTTAACTGATGAATACATAAACTGTTTTTAAACTCGATGTTTACACAAAACTCATAGTAGTTTTATTTAAAGTTTGAGCCCTTTTTCAGTTTTTATACCGCTAAATAGCACATGTCAGCCGCTGTGGTGTAGTGGTAAGTCGACGTTCAGACTCGAAGCTTGTGGGGGAGAGAGCGACGAGGAAAGGGGACGGGTACCGAGTCGCCCGTACTCGGGAAACACGCTTGTGATCTCGTTCGTCTGTGTAATTCAAGTTGGCGATTCACAGCAAATAGCAACACCAAAAGAGAAATCGCCGATTATAAGAAACTCGAGTTTCCGTGTTTGAACGCAGACTAAGCAGTGCGCGCTTCNAAGGTGTGCAGCAAAGTGAATTTTTGGACTCGCCATTGTATAAAGCCATGCAGAGTGCATATTTATATATGTGGACGGTGGCCAACCACCATAAACTCCACAGCTGTTGACTCCACAGTTTTTATTTGATGACTTTTGTACCATTTCCGAGAGGAAATAAATATTCTATGTTAGTAAAACATAATTCAAGCTGAACTTTTAAATGAGCACTGTTTTGTATTAGGTACGTAACAGCGCGGTAAGATGCCGCTTGATTTAGCGCCTGGCGACCTTATCCACTGGTGCATTACCTCATACAGCACTAAAAAGAATCAGGTACTAACAAAAATGTATATACATATATATATGTACACATGTATTAGCTTTAATCTTGTTCTAACTACAATTTCCTCTGTTTTAATAGAAATATGTAAACCCAATACTTGCCTCAAGCATCTTTGTTTATAATAAAAAAAATCATTTCGAACTGCTTCATGCACACATAGGTCGATTTGGTGTTTAATGCATCTCCTCGTCGGCAGGACTGCTTCAACTTTTTCGCCAGATTTGCGTCCGTAGGAAACGAAAAAAAAACTTATATCGCACGCTTTCCTTTTGTTTTCACTATTACACTTTGCCACGGCACACTTCATTTTGCCTTGTAGTGTCTCAATAATTGTTAAAAACCATGCAGAAATATTAACGCACAAATATTAAAATTGTTATTTGGTTTTTTCGTATGCTCACTATTAACAATTGCACCAAGATGACGTCACGCACGCAGCTCATTCTGTCAAAATCACAAAGCGCGGATTAGCGGTACCGCGATTGGCGCAATCTCTATTTCTCTCAATCGTGTGCGATTCCACTCCACAACGCCTGGGTTCAAACCCTGGTCAAAGCAACATCGCAAAAATATAGAAAACAGTTTTTTTTTAACAGCGGTCGTCCCTCGGCAGGCAATGGCAAACCTCCGAGTGTATTTCTGCCATGAAAAACAGCTTCTCATAAAAATACAATCGCCGTGCGGATTCGGCGTAAAACTGTAGGTCCCTCCGCTTTGTGTGACAACATCAAGGCGCACGCTACAAATCGGAGGAGAAGCTCGGCCAAACACTAACATATGTGTAAGCGCCAACCTATTATTATTATTATTATTATTAAATAGCACATAAATTACATAATTTACGTAGTCATCTTAATATTTTGTTCAATACATTAGAATTTACAAAAGGAATGTCACTACTAATTGCCTATTTTGAGTACTTTTCTACCATTTTCTCACTAAGGGATTTCATTCTTCCCCTATCTCCGTCCTTCGTAAATCCAACCTTTTGCAAGGAAGTGTCAAAACGCGGCTGTCAATAATTATCAAACCTTTTATTATTGAATCATGTATGGGGATCGAAAACTCATTAAGTCTTTTAAAAACACTCCCACACTTGCAAAAATCAATTATTTCAGTTTTATTTTTATCATTCCACATACTAGTTTTCAACGCCAGCTTTGATGACTAAACATTTCGGAATCTTACGAATAGGGGAACATTTCCTGCGGACGTGCCACCCATTTTCGATTCAAATGCAGCTCGCAACGCCAATTCCGTGATATTGTGCCGAAGAGGATAATAAACCTCCATCAGAAAGTCGGTGAATATTTCACTTTGCAATGACAAGGGGCTTCGAGATGAGGCAGGTGTGCAGAACTCATGTTGCCCTCAAATCGCAGGGTCGTGCCAGGTATTTGCTTTCATTGAACAGATGGACTGCAGACAACTTGAGCGACACTTTTTGTGTCTCTGCCCCGCCTTTGAAGGGATTTGGTATAATGATTTTGGCAGCGATGAGCTGAGAGACGAACCACTGAGCTCTTTGACAGATTAAAAGGCGTTGCCACGACAGTCGGGGCTACGTTACTGGAGTGACCCAAATTTATATCTGACCAAGGACTGTGACTCCAACATCATTCCCGAAAAACTCACTGGGGAATTTGTATGCTGTTGCAACAACAACAGATTAAACGGAACATGACAACAGTAGGTACAATACGTATTTTTGCACTCGTTGCTTTGTGCATTAAGTAGGAGAAGCTCATCCAAACTCGTCGTAAAGTGTGTCAGCGCCAAATATTTACTTTTTTATAATTCTATTGGGCAGTTTACTAAGTCTACTATGAACAATTTAAAGGCAAATTGAACACAAAATGTTTGTAGTACCATTTAGAATTGCACCCTTGCTGTGCTCTGCAAAGCAATATGAGTGAAAATTAAAATGATTACAAGAACTTAAGATCACATCTCGTGGCTTATTATAATTAGCTCAATATAGTTAGTTTAAGGATACTGAATAAAATGTAGTTATTACTGTAATCGTCGTCCGAAGCATCTTCTGTTTCGGATAAACTCTCATCATCCAGCGTAATAATGTTATTCTGCCAGTTACTGATTTGATTTAAAAAGTCCTCCAATCATATTTTGTTGTTTGTGAAATTTTGAGTGCTAAGCACAATGGGACTATAGCGGCCAAAAGTAGTGAAAATGGATTCGCGAAATCTGAAAAAGAAATTACGCAGATTTATAGAAAATTGTCGAACTAACCCAAATCAGAAATACTTTTTCGTAAAAATTCATATTCCAGTCACGGGACGAGCATAAAGTAGATAAGAAGCAAAAAATGAATTTGTAAGAAAAAATTTTGATTTTTTTCGCTACTAATTTTAATTAATTTTTCTACTTGTGCAGGATATATAATAAGCCAGTCTGATTGTTGACTATATATATATTTGTGGTCAAGCAATGCTTTATATTTTTATATATCTAGTGAAATTTATAAGTCAGTTTCACTTGAAATGCTACATAAATTTGTGAGTATAAAATTTTTCGAGCGCTTACTTTAAAAAGGATCCAGAAAGCGAGCTAAATTATACTTAGGATACACTTTAACTGCTTTATAAATACAAAATTTGTATGAAAATGTCATTTTATAGAGCTCTTTTAGTTCCAGCTGCTAGGAACTGCGAGTTCGCTTCTATTTTCCTTTTTATAGACACACCTCCTGTAAAATTTATTGAAATTTTATTGTAGGTGAAAAGGCTCTGATATGTACACAAAATAAATAATATGCAATACAAAATAGAAATGGAAGAAGGTAGAAATAAAGAAGATATTAATAACTCGAGAATTTATTAATTATATTCAGTATTCAGCCAAAATTGGAGGCTTCACTGGACGAGATCTGTTGTCGATGGCAAAAGTCTTGCTTGATCAAGCTCAGCTTTTGTTGTATAAAATATATGTAGATAGAATTGAAAATTTCGGTGCATCTCGTTTGTCATTTTCAAAGGAAGGAATAGGAACTAAAGTTCAGAAAATTTAGTGCGTGGAGCCATGGAAGGAAACTCATCATTATCGTCCAAATTGGAAAATTTTGATGTAAACGAGCAAATTTCATTAAAAAATAATTTTTTAATATTTGTGCCTATTTTTCTAGAATTGGTGCACGATAATGGACACCAATTTTGATGTTCTTTCAGATTTATGATTTTTTGTTTAAAACCAGCATATGCTGTGAATTTCATCAAAATCGGATAACATTTATCATATCCGCCCACTAGAGCTGTGGGCGTGGCAGCGCGTCGACTCTTACCATTTTGCATATTTATTCAGTCCTAAGTGCAGAATTTGTAAACAGGGCTCGAATCGTCACATACGATATCGTATTACTCGTCACGTAAAAAACACATTTTTCGGATGATGACATACGTGAACGTACTCTTTGTCCCATTCAGCTTATACTGTCTGACGTATCGCGTAATTTTCTTTCGTATGGTTTTCGATCCGTGAACGTATGGTACCATTCGACCGCACGCTGTGGGATGGCGCGAAAGCGGACTTCCGCGCTTGAGCCCCACCAGGCTCGCCGAAGCCATGATAAATAAATATGTTGTCAATCGGGTTCACAAGTGAGCTTTAACGGGTTTTCAGAGCATTACTTTTATAGAAAATAGCGTATTTTTCTGAATGTATTAATATAATTAAAAATTTATATTTGACGCTTATACATGTTAACGCTTGGCGGAGCTTCTCCTCCGCTTTGTGTTGTGCGCTTTGAATTTTTTTTTTGTGAACGGTGCTTGGACCAAGGATAGAATCCTGGACCTACCGCGCGGTAGTGCGCACCTCTTACCACCAGAGTACGTGATATTTCTCAATCGCGCAACCTAGTTAAAAATTAGAACTTCCGTGGTCGTGCACACTGAAAATTTCTATCATTTTTGGTCGGGAAATAGAATATGTGGGTGCTTTGTATTGATAAGTTTAGAAATACAGCCACAATGCACATTCTAGTTTTTATACCCGAGCGCACTTGTGCACAAGGGTATTATAACTTTGTTCACATAACGGTTGTTTGTAACAGGCAAAACGAATCGAGATAGATATAGACAAATGTATACANTCCCATATAACGGTAATTTTCAGAAATACGAAAACTGCGATATTTTAGTAACTACTGAAGATTATTCACTCCAAATTGATATTTACAATAAGTTTTAGACGAAAAATAAGAATATTATAAATTTTTGGAAAATGGGCGTAGCCACGCCCACTTATGGTTACATGTGTATATCTTGGTAACCGCTGCACCAATTTCTTCCAAACTTGGCACAGTTGTTAACCTTGGTATAACATACGAAATGGCCGAAATTTTTTAAAATCGGACAATAACCACGCCCACATCCCATATAACGGTAATTTAGAGAAATACGAAATCTTCGATAAATCAGTGGTTATTGAAGCTAATTTATTCAAAATTGATGCTTGTAACGATTCTTTACCAAGAAACACGCATAGGATAAAATTTTGAAAAATGGGCGTGGCACTGCCCACTTATGATAACATATATGTATCTCGGTAACCGTTCTACCAATTTGTACCAAACTCGGTGTGGTTATTGTGCTTGCCACATAGAAGCAAAACGTTGAAAATTATTGAAATCGAACTAAAATTACGGCTGCTTTTCATATAACAGTAAATTTCAGAAATGCTTGAAACCATCTAGCGGCAGGTTTCGGAAAGGTGAAGAAACATATATTTAATACTTGCGCCGGGTATTTAATGTTCGGCTCCGCCCGAACTTAGACTTTCTTACTTGTTTACCTTCAATTTTAGCCTCTGATGATAGCCGCGTATAATTAACAAGCGCCGCGGTTTCCAAACTCTTTTTGATCATCATACGCACCTCCTCTGGTGGCACGGGGGTTACAATGTCCTTCATAAGCACGCGCTCTAACAAGGAGAGTGTAGCTTTTAAGGCGCCCTCAGGGCGTCCGAATGGAAAGCAAAAGCGAAAATTTGTTATTTGATACTCGAGTAAACCACGTAGGCGTTCTTTGATTTCAGCGAACTTCTCCTTTTCCTCGTGCGTAATGCTCCCAACGCCATCAGGCCTGTAAATAAAAAATTATATTTAAAAATAGCAGTATTTAGACGAATCGCGCTACATAACATATTATTATAGCGTGACGTAATATATTGGCCCTCCGCGCTATAATTGGAGCCTAGGCTAAAATAGAGCGATTAAGAGTTATAACAGGAACACATCAGCCTATAATACCATCGCATCGTGGCCATGGATAGTTTCGACAGTCGATAGTCACAACCATCGATAGTATCGATACTATCGAAAATGTCGACACTATCGATAGTAAATTAAAAAAGTCCAAAAATTAAACACAACAACTTTTATTGAAAATGAGATCAGAATCGCTAAAATATGTTCGTGCTTTTGTTAAGGAACAAAAGTTTATCAACGATTTTTGGCTTTAAGCAACCAATGTATGTATGGGTGAAAACTATCGATAGTACTTAAAAAACCATCGATGTTTTCGATAGTCAAAAACCATCGGTACTATCGATAGTGCCATCGATAGTTTTCCAGCTCTACGTTTCCGTCATGGTCCTGATGATTTGATACCTAAAGTTGTCATAATACTCGTAACAGGGTATTAAAGCCGAAAGTTTAGACCAGTTAATCCACTCCGTGTTGTCATCGAACTAATTTAATGATTAGCCGAGGAAACGAGCTGATTAAACGCGGTCAGACTTACTGGCGTCCCTAAATTGCAGCGCTAAGTGTTGCATTTTCCAACGCCAACATGTGCCAATGCGCGCTATACCTACTGTGACCATATTAACTAATGTAAACTAAAGGACATTCTTTTCAAAATTATTTAGGAATACTTACATACAACTTGTATGATAAAATTACCTTACCCATATCGTAATTTAAATCAAATATTTACCAGTTAATTAACCGATTCCAAAAAATTAAGCCAAATCCTTTTCAAGGACTTCCTTTGCTTAATTCATAATGCACGCTGAAGTCAGCACGCAGTGGTTCAAAATTGGAATTTAATGTTCATAATTCACCGCAGTCTTCATTTTTCAACCAATTTTTACCAAAAACCAAAAAAAAAAATTATTTTTGTGAACCTTTTTTTATATAATTTCAAATTTTTTTTTGTAATTTTTTCGTTTTGGAGAACCATACAATTGTTTTTAAGTAGTCTTTGTTATGTAACATTTATTAACTGGAACAGGAGAATGCATATTCTTCTAAATTGCTTTGCACTAAAAAAATTAATATAATCAAATAAAAATTCACAAATCAGGCTAAACTGGTCTGTTGCAAATATTATAAGCTTTAATAAAAAAATATCAAATTAAGTGAAAGAAATGAAGGCTCCAGTGAATTACGAACACTAAATGCCAGTTTAGAACCACTGTGTAGCAGGGGGTTTATTGTTCTCTTTCAGTGGAACTGGAAACTCAGTGTGCAACACGATCCTGGGCACAACTTTCCCTGTGCTTTATAGATTGTGCAAAGATTACCTATTAAATAAAAACCCTTAAGTGGGGTGCGAAACAAACTGGCGAAGGTTTTCATTATATTTTATAAGGAACATTTTTATTTTTCATATTCTGTGTTTAAAAATTTACCTCTGAAAAATGCAGAGCTGATTTAAAGGACAGTTTAAGAAATAAAGGACAAAAGGCGTCCTTTATTTTGAAAACAATTATAAAGGACAGGGGGTTAAAATAAAGGACTGTCCTTTAAAATAAAGGACGGATGGTCACCGTAGCTATACCCAAAAAAAAAAAAACGCGTTTAATCTTTCGCTTTTTGCCCTCTCTCTTTCTTTCTGTCTTCTGCACCCAACTTCAACACCTAATTCTCTTTGCTCGGAGTTAGTGGCGCGTTATTGTGGGATGCTTCATTAGGATCTTTGACAGTCCTTTGGCGCTTGACGCGTCAATTTAGGAACGTTAGTTAAGTGAGTTAGATGAGTTGCTGGTTAGTGCATTGCGTAGCATATACCTATATTGCACATACGTTTGGTAAATCGGGACTAATTTTTATTAGTTAAACTTACCACAGTACTGTAAATGGCGATTGTCTCGAGTAATGGGGGACTTACGACTGAACTTGAAATTTATGTTTACCAAGGGGTGCGTGGTCAACGAAAATGGCCGTCATGGGACGAAAGCTGATTAGTGTGAGATTCCATATTAAATTCAAATAAAAAATAATAATTTTTCGATTAAATTTCTTTCGTGAAACAGGATATAATTTTTTGTTTTAAATACAGTTACAATATATTTTGCCCTCGCTGCCCAGTGCATGCTTTTCAAAGCTATAAAAAAAATATAGTGGATGTGTTTTTATTATCTGCATTTAGTAGAATAACTTATTACACACTGCACGGCAAAAACTTACACAGAAATAACTATTTATCGCTAAAATATTGATATTGAATAAAATTCCATAAAGTTCATTTTTTTAAGATTAATAATAGTGAAATCACTTATTGTTTTCTTGTTATTCATTTCAAGTTAAGGAACATTATGTTTTGGTAATAAAATTAAAAACACACATGGGTTATTTTAAGGCCAGGAATGCTTTTTTTAATAAGAGTTTGAGTGATAATTAAGGATTTTTGGATATTGATTCCGCTGCGATAATTTTTACAAGACGTATAGACGAGCGACCTTTTCGAAAGCTGAATTGCTTTAGAGCAAGGCCTCCAAACAGTTCGATTCCTTCCCCGATTCGGTTTTCTATAACCCTTTCCAGCAGGTTCTCCACGATGTAGAGCTTACAAATTGACTTATACGGGCATGCTCTGAAATTCGAAACTTTGAAGTCGACTCGATTTGCCAAATATTTTTTAATTATATTTGATGAAAGGAGTAAATATTTTAACTGAAAACTGAGACTGCGAGACTTGTAAATTTTTGGGTTAAAAACCATCGAAAAAATTATCGAAATCGAGTCGATTTCAAATTTCCGAAGGTCTGTTTGCCTTAGGTAATGGCGGTTCAATGTACTATAGACGTCAGTTTTCAACAATCGATTCATCGATACATCGACTATTTGTACATCGAGTGGAAAATTTTCGATGCATCGACGCAAAACATCGATATTTTCGATGCATCGATGTTTCTCCGACATCCCTCGGCTAACTTCAACAAGTGTTTGCGTGGGCATGTACAGTACACAACACCGTAACAGCAAAGCAGGGACTGCTTGCTGAGCATAACGTTTTTTTCCTTGGTATTTTTGCGACTCTGAAAGCGTTTCCCCAGAACTGGTAAATGTTAGAACCCACAAATACCATCGAAAATTGCCGAAGGCTTCCCCCATGCATGTCAAAAGGTATCAACTTATAAATTTTTTTTTATTCACGAATATTCGATTACCTGTTTCCGTGCACGTGACTGGCACAAAAGGCAAACGAGTAATGTATCAGTGTAGGATCAATCATGTACTCCTTTTCCGCTCGTTCCAGCAAATCTGATAAATAACACAGATGTCTGTAGCATCCACGAACGCCATAACGCGCACAATATTCGTCCAATACGAAAACCTGACCAGGACTAAACCAGCCCTGAAACACGGCAGGGAAAAAAGAATGCTATGTACATACATATGTAAATACATAAGTGGGTCTACTTACCAATGATGCGTATGGATCGTTCAGACGATACTCGAGTGTGAGGTTTTGTAGCACCCTGAACAGCGCAGCGTGATCGAACGAGCATGGATCCGCGCTAATGTAATCTTCCATTCCATGCTTGCGAGCCTTGTCGGCATCTGTACTTCCGAAAAAAAACCATAAAAACATACACATAAAAATAAACCAATTTACTGGTGCCTACAAAAGCTTAAGTTTAGCGCATTTCAAAAATTAGGGAGCGTCATGCAAAGCCAACTACAGCCTAGAACACCATGCTCTCGCCTATTGCTAGTTGAGTAATGATACATTTTACTCTCGAGCAGATTGACTACTGAAGTTTATGTGCCACAGAAAAACTGCCGCGGTCCCAATCTGTCCATATGATCAGCGGTCCTATTCTCAAGCAGTCTGTCAAAGGGTCAACGTCTATCTTTACAAATGGATCTGTAAAGTAATACTGCAATGGGGACCAGAGTGTCCAAATCGGGCTATTTAGCGTCAAATTGGCAGTTTTTGGGCGAATTTTTTTGAGAAAGCGCGTTTTTTTAAACAATCCGGACACCCTGCTGGGAACAGCCTGAACTTTTCAAAAAGCACTTCAGAGAATATTTAGCTGACCAACATTCGGTGCGTACCAAAACTTTCTGCGTGTTTTACGCGAAAAAGGCCTATTTTTAAACTGTGATAAATTAACTGGAGTAAAGCCATTCTTATTCAAAAATGTCCAGCGAACTCAAAGCTGGTTAGTATTTTTAATAATATGTGCTGAGCAAGCCGTTGAATCCATTTAATTCAACGAAATCGATCGTGGCTTGTTCTAACATTTATTAGTTGATAGCTTTCTTAACAATTTCTTTTATGAAAACTTTAAATTATAACAGTATTTGCTCGTTTAGTGTTACTTCTTAAAGATTGAAAATGATGATTTCATATGAAATATTACATAATAAAATTTTGTTGCCAAATTATGAATATCTTAATTTTCTCTAATTTTTTTTTCAAAAAGGTATAACTAATTTGTAGGGCCGAGTAGGATCTTCATTCCATTACCAAAAAGTAATGCAAGGGGTTCTTTAAGGATTTATGAAAAGACTAGCCGCGCATACTCGCGCCAAAAACAGTGGCGGCCATTTTTACTAAAACCGCGGCTTATTTTTCAAGAAATATTATCTTCAAAACGGTATAACTAATGAGTAGGGCAGGGTAAAATCTTCATTCCTTTACCAAAAAGTAATGCAAGGCGACCTTTAAGGAACTACGAAAAGAAAAGCCGCGCATGCTAGCACCAAAAAGAGTGGCGGCCACTTTTATTACACTAAGGCTATGTCTGCATTGCGAGATTTAATGAAGATTTAGCCCTCTGACGAGATTTAACGTTAAATCTTTCGAGATTTGTTATATAAAATTAAATCTCGAAAGGCAGAAGATTTAAGTTAAAACTTCGTTAAATCTTCAATAATATTGGTCAATAAATACAATTTGTTAGGTGTGGCATCCACATATTCACATATACAGTATGGCGTCCGAGAATTAAAAAAATTACTGAATTTTCATGAAATTTGCTATTTTGAGGATCTTAAGTTCGCTTATTACTAATTTCAAACTAGTTTTAGAAAATCCAAAATTCAAAATCCAGTATGGCGTCCGAGATTTAAATAAATCATTGAATTTTGTTGAAATTTGATATTTAGAAGTTCGCATTCATGGCAACTCCGAAGGCTGTTATCGGAAGTTATCGTTACCGAATATTACGCTCTTCCTTAAGGGACACATCTGTCATTCTTCTGTATCCAATATGGCGCCCAAAAATTAAAAAAATTACTAAATTTTCATGACATTTGGTATTGCCTTTGGTATACCTTTGCCAGTAGGGCATTTTTCTGAGGAAGCCCAGGAGGCTCGCAACAAAGACTTCAGATGGTATCGCGAGCAAAACACTCGAAAAATGTTCAGGAAGGAATCTAACGAAGATTTATTTAATATGTTAGTTATAACTGATCCTGTTATATACAGTATGAGACGACCCCCTCTTCGAAAAGCAGATGCCATTTCCGAAGATGTCATCAGTCTTTTGCGTGAACCAACTCAAAACGCATCAGTTTGTGTGGAAAGTGACAGAGTTGAGTGAAAAAATATTTCGTCATTTCTATTTCAATTTGTTGTCTCTAATATTAGTTAATACAGGGTGTTTTTTAGACGTTTGAACATACTTGAACTGGTGATAGTTGGCGCAATCTGCTATGTGTTCCGCCCAGAAATTTCCAGTAGGCCCCCAAGGTTTTATATATTTTTTTTAAATTTCCCATTTAAGAAAATTCAAACCTGAATAACGTTATTTAAAAATGAGAAAACTTTAGTTTTGGAAATCACCAATTTGGTATATGTAATTTTACCTAACAAATATATTGTGTTACTCAACTAAAAATGACAGTTGATTTGACAGATTTCAACTGAAAAAGAATATAGAACTCGAGATCAGTGAGCCTTAAAACCTAGTACGTTTACTTATTGGGAAATTCTCCTTATTTTTAGAGAAATTGACAGCCCACTCGACAGCTGTCAAATCTCAAGGTTTTAATTTCCCGTAAAATTCGTGACAAGCGTGTCTAAACCCCTTACCATTAGCATTTAAAAAACATTTTCTTATTTTCAGAAAAATTAACAGTTAATTTGATAGCTGTCAACTTTCAAAGTTTTATTTTGACGTACAATTCGTGATCAGCATGTTTAAAAATCTTATCAGTAACGTTTTTAAAAAGATTCTCTGATTTTTATAAAAATTGGCAGTCCATTTGACAGCTGTCGACTGTCAAACTTTTAATTTGACATAAAATTCGTGACAAGCGTGCCTAAAAACCTAATAAGTGGTATTTTCAAAAAGACTTTCTTATTTTTAGAGAAATTAGCAGTTGATTTGACAGCTGTCAACTGTCAAACTAAAAATTTTATGGCATATTCAGATTTAGCATAACTAAAATACTACGATGATGCATTTTTATTATAATCTTAACAGCCCTTCTAATTTTTCGCGTAAAAATAAGCTTCAACGACCGGGGGGTGAAATAAAACAAACGGAAATAACGCAAAGTTGAATGTGAAATAAAACAAATTTGCTTTATTTCATTTCTCGTAGAGCAATAAGACCAACTTTTAAACTTAACAATATGAGTAATGAAGAAAAATAGTGCGCATATGTAGGTAGTCACCCAGTTACATTTGACAAAAAGTAGTACATGAACAAGTTAAATGGACGGATTTGTAAGTCTACAATTTTGAAAGTGCCCAGCGTCACGGCGGTCCGCGTTCGCGCGCCCCCCGCGCCACCCAGCGCCGCGTCGCGTTCGACGTCGCTCTCGCGCTTGCGCGCGCGTCCCCCGCCACCCTCCCCTCCATTCACGGTTATGCACTGGTGGCATTATAACCGTTTAGAAAAAAAAATAATAATAATATGACACTAGTTCACTTCTGAAACTGCTTTTTAATATCCAAGTAATGGGAATTATTGCGTATGATGTTATTGCATGCACCCCACCCATGATGGAATTATACCAGGTGAAGTAATATTAGAGTGAGAAGAAAGATCTTGACACTGCTTTATTTGGACGTTTGCCTATAAATTGTGACTATAAGGCCGCCGAATGTCAGAAAATAAAGCGAGAAAGCTGTTTTATTACTTCACCTTTTTATTACGCCATTCATCCCATCAGTCGCTTGTTCCGAGTATAAAATTTTACATATTTTTACATCATTATTTTGTACCACATGTTAGCTCCGTCTTCGTAAATGAAATCCACAGGTCGGATATAGCAAGTGATGATAATGCATAAATTTTAACTGAAGATAAAACTCAAAACATTATTCTCTGTGTTATACATATGGGTGTTTCCATACAGCCGTACGCGACATTCGTACGCTTATAGAGTAACGTAAATCTATCAAAAATAGAAGTTACAGAAAAAAAAGATTACGGTTATGTTGCAACCAAAGGGTACTATGTTTGAGAAAAAAATAAGCAGCCTCGAAACTTTGGTGTGGAAAATATCCGTTCAAAACCAGGTGATAACGTACGCGACAAAAAAAGAAGTGGTTTTAAGGCACATATACATATATGCGAAAGTCTGCGAATCATGAGAGTTTTTCTTTTCTTTAAAAATTCCTAAACTAAGCTAAATAATGTACCCTTACAATCCTTCCATTTTTTGATGGAAATTATCTCTGGTTAGTTTTTATTAAAAAAAAGTATAATAACGTACGCGACATAAAGTACGCGACAGATTTTCCCCCATACAATATTTTTACTAGTAACACATACTAAATTAAATTTTTTCAGTTCTTCTCTCCACCGTTTCGCGTTTTCAAAACCTTTTTCCGCCATCTGAATACGAAATTTAAAGTTATAAAGCCGTTTGAATTCATTTGCTTGCATTTTCGGTTTACATTTTCATGGAAACACGCATATATGTGAAAGTCTGTGAATCATGGGAGTTTTTCTTTTCTTTAAAAATTCCTAAACTAAGCTAAATAATGTACCTTTACAATCCTTTCATATTTTAGGAGAAATTATCTCTGGCTAGGTTTATATTTAAAAAAAAAACAATAACGTACGCGACATAACGTGCGCGACAATTTTTCTCGTAAGTAATAAAATGTATTTATTGAGAACTCTTCTCGCCACCGTTTCATTGTTTTACAACTATTCTAAATAATTTAAATGGAAAATTTGCAATTAACATTGGTTTTGATGTATTTGATTGAAATTTTCGTGCTTACAATAACGTATGCGACAAACTTTAAAGGGTAATAAAATATATTTTTACTTCGGTTGGAAAGAAAATTTTACTGTATATCTTTAACTAGAAGAATTCTCGCTTAAGAATTGTAATCTGCATTACCTGCGACTGCCAATATAGAAATGACATAGACAAACAATGTTTTTGCATAACGTACGCGACATTGGAATACTATCAGAAGCAAATCAAAAAATTACCGTTATTCGAGCTCCAACTTCTCCTTTTTCTCATTTTTATAGTTAGTTGTTATTGCAAGTTTGATTTTAAGATGTAATTGTAATGTTTCAAATCTCTTAATTTAGTTAATAGGAAAGAGAAAATAGTTCATGTCATAAGAGAAAACTGAGTCGAAGAGACATTCAGTTTTACTCTTCCATTTTTGAGTTTTAAAATTCCAATAAGCTGAAATACTTCTATAATATAAAAATTCGAGTATTTTTCTCTTATTAATTCGTCTTAAAAACCCTTTTCAGTTGTTTTTAATTTTTTCAGTCCTGGTTGACATTTTCATGGAAACACCCATATGCTGCGAACAGGAACGGAAACTTTTGTTTGTTCCATGCCATGCCGGTATTATACCAGGTGAAGTAATTAGAGCGAGAAGAAAGATTTTGACACAGCCGAATGCCAGAAGATAAAGCGAGAAAGCTGTTTTACTACTTCACCTGTTTATTGCGCCATGGTTCCATGAAAAGATTTTAAGGTTTTCCAGCAATATTTTCAACATATTAAAAAGCATGCAGACAAAATTCATACAAAAGCGCTATGTCCAATTTTCCGAGCAGTTATTAAAGACAACGTTTTCCCTATATTTTGTTAGACTTTTCATAAGTAAAAATATTTGTTTAATTGTATTTTTGGAATAAACAAAGTTCTTTTTCCTTCTGTCAGTAAACTGTTTTTGTTACAAATAGTATAAATAAGCAATGGGAAATAAGGCAAAATTTGTTTTATTTCCAACCTTTGGTATTATTTCCCATTTATAAGTGAAATATAGCAAATTTTGCGTTATTGCCGTTTGTGTTATTTCACGCCTTTCAAATTTGTTTGTTATGTAAAATTAAAAATTTTGAAACTTTGATAATAATTTTTTTAAGTTTGATAATTTTTTTTTGCAATTTGTGCAAGTTTTAAACTTTTATTATTGTGGTTTCTGTTATAGATGGAATTGTATTTTAAATGAAAATGATTAAAAATAAATAAATAACAGAATTTGCCAACAATATCATTTTGAATTTTGTTACTTATTAGTTGATCGCATCTGTATACATTACCGCCTTGTATTTTTGATATCGCAGAATTCTTGTCCTGTGTCACTGGTGGCGTAGGTTTGTGCGATTGTCCCGTTGCTCGATACATGGCCATCACCCAGAGGCTACACTCATTTTCATCGTCGCAGGCAAATGCAATGCTATCGCCCTCACGAACCGCATTGAAAAAGTACCGACCTCCATTCAAATCGATCCCAAACATCAAATTGGCTGCAATACAAAAAGGATATTGAAAAATGAATCATTGCTACGCTGCATGTAAGGTGTATCATTAGGGTGACCACTATCTGTTAGCGAATACATAAAAGCACATTAATCATTTCTTTCACCAATTTGGAACCAAAAGAAATATCAAATTTAAAATATAATGACCACCCTAATATTATGCGGTTTCGCAGACTGCTTACCGCTCGCCGCCTCGATATAATCAACTGTGTACCCATCCAATTGCATCATTTCCGATGGTTCAGACTTCTTCTCCTTATAGCTACACATGGCAAACGTATACTGGGACACTTGGACCAAAACAAAGTAGCGTTTCTTCCATTTTTTCCAAACCGATTTGCCAATGGCCTGAAGATGTCTTAAGAAAAGAAAAAAAAAAATCAAAATATAATGTATCTTGTTTTATTTTGTCTAAGTAAATAATTGATGGGTAGCATTGTTGGCTTATTATGTATCAGATTTTATATTTAAAATTAAGATATTCATTATTGAAGTATGACGAAGAAATAATAAATAGCCAAATACATATCGTTACCTTAATTCACAAAGGTCCTAACCAATAAATTTTTTATTTTACAGGAGAAGCACACAACATTTTAAAAAAAGTATCAATAACTGGCAGGGCTTTTTAAAAAGTGGCACGTAACTTTAAAGTTTTTATTGAAGTTATATTTTAATACCTCTCACCAATATCTGTGAAACACGTAGTTTCGAAAAAAAGTGTTGGTTATGGCCTTTGTGAATTAAAGTAATGATGTGTTCTTTTAAAATTAAACCACTAAAGACGGTGAAGTATTTTTAAAGTTAATACTGCACAAAAACCTTGCGTATAAATTGTATATAATAACTAGCCGTTCTATGTGAAATCTTCAAAGTACAGAGATTTGGCTTTAAGTTTTGTAAAAAAGTAATCAGATTTTTTTAATTGTGATGTCAGCAGAGTAAGACGTGCTTTTGCAGTGCTCTTAAATATTAGTGTTTTTCCTCGGAAATATCTAGAAATTTGCCAAAAGTTGCTAATCTACCGGTGTTCGCGTGTGCTGCGAGTTGTTCCTGTTGCGGATACCTACGCACTGATTCACCTGACTTATTTTTACGCTTGCTTTACCTGATAGCTTAAAAAGTTCGTACAAACATACACACATATGATATCAACACGAAAAAACCCAACAAGAAAACCTGCATCCCCCCCTAAAACTCCTCTCACGCCGGCATCAGCTATGTTTGACAGGATGGAGAAGAAAATAGAAGAGCAGAGAGACTCAATCATCCAACAGTTGACTGCGGTAATGAAGAAATCGGAAGAGAGGGTTATGCAGTAGATTGGAGAGCTGGCTGCTGAAACGGCAAATTTAAACTGTCTATAGCAGCTATTGAAAAAAGGGTGAGTGCAGTCGAGAACACGTGCACTGAAGTTCTAGCGCTCCGCAGTGAACTGATATCTACTCAGACGCAGCTCACTGCTCTCGAAAGCAATGCAGTTTCCACCGATGTGATAATAAACGGGATCCCTCAAGCAGCTGATGAGTGCTTGTCTGAACTCTTCGGTAAAATCTGCGGTGCAGCACAGCATAAACCTCCGCCTTTGCGTGATGCTTTTCGGCTGCGTAGTGCAAAAAGTAATGGGCAAAAAAGCAGCAACAACTGCCCTATTGTTGTTAAGCTGTTCTCTGCACATGATCGCAACCAGCTCTTAAAAGCTATTGCTGTGTTCTGTAAAGCCAAAAAAAGATCGCTAGCGCTCTCCGATGCTGGATTGCCTGGTTATGGATAAATTTTTTTGCATGAGAGTTTGCCAAAAATGCTGCGTGAGGTGATGTCGTATGCGTCGGAGCTTAGGCGGAAGAAACAGTTGGCGTCAACCTTCTCCATCCGTGGGAGAGTTTTTGTACGGCTTAAACCAAGCGAGGAGCCCAAACTGGTGAGAAGCAGGGCCGAGGTTAATGCTCTTATTAGCACTAGAAAATAATTATGTATATGTTCGTTGTGAAATCGTATTTTTTATTGTGGTTAGTTTATGCCAGCTTAGAAGTTAAGTTAGTTGTATGCTTGTTCTCTTTCTTCCTATGCCTAATACTCTTGATTAGTTGTTTGTTTACTGTTTTATTTCTATGCTTTAAGCAATTTTTCTTTGTTCCCTTGATTTTGGTCTATGAAAGTGTATGTTATTTTCGTCTGTTCTCAATTTGCTGTTTTCTCCTGCTTACATTGTTTTTTTGCAATCACATACATTTATGTTTTGAAGTCTTTTTGTTTTGCCTACGCTTTGTGGTTACTCATTTTTCAGCTGATGGATTTAAACCCCAGTAGGAAATCTGCCGGCAGCATTGATGAAAACCATACAATTCTAGTAAATATTTTGTGCAAACAGTCTAGTGGCCTTAAAATTGTGCATTTTAATGCGCGAAGCCTTAACGGTGACAAAATGGACTACGTTAGGAATGTTTTTGGGGGATCGGGCGTTGATGTTATCTGAGTCTCTGAAACATGGTTCAATTCTAATATTCCTGACTATTATTATGGAATCCCACAATATAATCTTATACGTCACGATCGAACAACAAAAAAAGGGGGAGGTGTTGCAATATATTACAGATCTACCTTAAAAATTAAACTTTTAGCTAAAACGAATAACCCTGAAACGGAATTTATTATTTCTGAAATTTCAGACGGTGTAACAAAAGTACTAGTGTCCTGTGTGTATAATCCTCATAGGTGTTGTGTGTTAGATTCGTTTTTTGTTGAGTTATCCGCGTTTTTAATTGAATATGAATATTATGTTATATGTGGTGATTTTAATGTTAACCTGCTGTTAAACGACTTGTATACTATTAAACTACTTGACCACGTATCCGCTGCTGGTCTTGCTGTAGTCAATAAGTCCTTACCAACAAGATACGCCAACAATTCGAAACCTAGCTTGCTAGACCTGGTTATTACGTCTAATCTTGACCATATTCTTAAATTTGACCAAATGTCTTTTGTCTCTGACCATGACCTAATATTTTGTGCATTAGATGTGTCGTTGAATTGTCCTACTGATAGTGTTATTTTTATGTATCGTGATCTGAAGTCTGTTAACCTTACTGATCTGTTCGTTGATTTGTCAAATGTTAACTGGGATAGCTGTTGGTTCTACAAGACTGTAGATGAAAAACTTGACTTTTTAAATAAAACCCTTGCTGAATTATTTGACGATCATGTCCCTGTTCGCATTGTTAGGGCTATGAATACCTCCTATCCTTGGTACACTAATAAGGTCAGCTCAGCTATAAAAACTAGAAATAAATTATATGCAAAATGGAAAAGAACCAACTCTGACGTTGCTTGGTCACAATATAAGGCTGCAAGAAATAAAGCGACTGTCATTACAAGAAATGCAAAGCGGTTGTACTTTAGTTATAAATTGAACCCGTCACTATCGTCAAAAGATTTATGGCGCAATTTGAAAAACCTAAATGTGCATGGAAAATGTAAGTCTGATTGTAAAATTGACCCAAACACACTCAACGACTATTTTATCAGTGTCAGCAGAAACAGCAAAAGTGCCTCCAGCTGAAATTTTCACTAGCAATGTTGCTCTAAAAGAAGAGTTTCAATTTGACGGAGTAAGTGAATCAGAAGTCTTGAAATCTGTGATGAGTATCAAGTCTAATGCCATTGGAGAGGATGGGATATCTTTGAAGTTTGTGAAACTTGTGCTGCCTTTTTTTTTGAGAACTTTAACTCATGTCATTAACCACTGTTTCACAACTTCATGTTTTCCAACAGAATGGAAAAAGGCTGTCATTATTCCTGTAGCCAAAAAGAGCACTGCTACTTATCCTAGAGACTACAGACCTATAAGTATTTTACCAGCCTTATCAAAAGTATGCGAGTCGTTGATGGCAGGGCAGATTTCCTCATTTGTACAGGAAAATAATTTATTATCGCCATTGCAGTCAGGGTTTAGACCAAGCCATAGCTGCTCTACGGCTATGTTGAAAATAGTTGACGATATACGGATACAGTTTGACAATGGTGACCTATCTCTTCTTTGCCTGCTGGATTTTTCTAAGGCATTTGACTTGCTGAATCATGACCTGCTTTGCAAAAAACTTAAATACCACTTTGGTTTTTCTGATAGCTCTGTTAAACTTATGATCAGCTACCTTGCAGGAAGAACTCAAAAGGTAATGTGTAAGACTGGCTCCTCTTCATCTAAACTTGTTGGCTCGGGTGTGCCGCAAGGTTCTGTCCTTGGCCCTCTTTTGTTCAGTCTTTTTGTGAATGATGTATTCTCTGTGTGCCACTATGTCAACGTCCATGCTTACGCTGACGACATTCAATTGTACTTGTCCAGTCAAATTGGTCTTGTTGAAGATTTGTGTTTTAAAATTAATAGTGACCTGTCTGCAATTTCACAGTGGGCCCACGATAATTGTCTTTGCTTAAATGCTGCAAAGTCGTATGTGTTGCCCATTAGTAAACGTGTAGTACATGTGGAAGATATTCCAAAACTGTTTATTAGTAATAGCGTCCTGATTATGACTGACAAGATAAGAAATTTAGGATTTGTTGTTAATTCTATGTTGAGCTGTTCTGACCATGTGAATAATGTTGTAAGTAACGTGTATGCTGTTTTACGTAGATTAAGAATGTCAGCGTCGTTTACACCCTTAGATACAAGAAGAAAGTTAGTTATTCAGCTTATAGTGCCGCAGATCACGTACTGTGGGCTGGTGTATAGCAAGTTTGACTCTATTTCGTTTCACAAAATTGATGTTGCGTTTAATAACGTTACACGTTACGTTTACGGCCTCAAAAGATATGACCACGTTTCTATGTGGAAAAACAAAATTCTAGGATGCAGCATTTTTGAATACTTAGCGGCTAGAAATTGTATATTTATGTATAAGCTTATAGAATTCAAAACTCCAAAATACCTTTTTGAAAAATTAAAATCAACAAGGTCTAATAGAAATCAAAGTCTGATTGTCCTTAAATATTCCTACTTGTCTTCAGCTAGGCTGTTCTTCATTAATGCTGTAAGGCTCTGGAACTCAGTTCCTGAATCCGTAAAAGCAGCGATGAATCGGAGTAACTTCAGAAAGGTATTGCATAATTACTTTAAATCTTCACAATGAATGTGGTTGCGATTAAATTGTTATCATTTCTCTGTCTCTGTCACTTCTACTACTAAACCAAATTTTGTATGTTCGTATTTATATTTATATGCCTGACTTTTTATTATATCTGACCTTAAATTTTAAGTCCTAACTTTAATCTTAATTAAAAATACAAATATTAATATCTTTTGTTGCTATTTGATATATTGTTAGTTTTAAGTTTACTTTGTACAAACATTGACTTTTACAAACTGTTGATGTATTATAAAAGACTCTAAAGTCTTATAGATACAGCCTCATTTCTTAAATAAATATGAAATATGAAATATGAAAACATATGAAATATTTAGTTGCTTCTCGTGAAGCTTTCTTAACAAAAAATTGCGTTTGCTACATTAGAAGGCGACTGCCTTGGCTTTTACGATACTATGCATACAAACCAAGAGCAGATGTTTAGAGGCCCACTTACCCGCAGTGCTTCATATTTAGCGGCTTGTCAAGACGGCAGGCAATCTTGATTCGTAAATCTTGATCTGGAAGATTTTTAGACACTACCATTCGATGCCATTCTGGAGACTGAAAAACAATGTAAGGATTAAATTGTTTACCCATTTTTCCAATTCATCCCCCAATATATGTCTATCATACCTTCGATGAAAGCGGTGTTGGTTTTATTGTGACCTTGCCGAGTTCTTTATCTTCTAACGCCAACATACCAGGGTTTTCCGTATATAGCTTAACTTTAACTACTGGCAGGGGATGTGTCGTTGTAAAATCTCCTTGTGTGTCCCACCTGTGAATTACAAGGTGTTATAAAGTGGTGGATTATGATATTGGAATCGAAATAGAGAAAATTAACTCATATTACACTAAGAACAGTATTAAGGGGTTTTATGGCACTAATGCACAATACCAATCGGAGAGTGGAAGTTTCCGAATGAGCCGACAGAGAAGAAAATAAATCTAAGGGCCGATTACTCAATGTCTGGTTAGGGTTGCCAGACGTACTGCTTTTGGGAGTACACGTACTCCTTTTTATTGCAATGTACTCCCTTGTTCTCCCAAAAAAAATATATGGAAATGTACTCCTTTATTAGTTTTGTCCTTCTTTTGTTCTCCTTTTTCCAGCTATTAATATTTTATCATACACAGGGTGTAAAATAATAACTGTCGCACAGTTTTTTTTGTTTTCAATAAAAGGGACCTTTATAGATTTTGCGAAAATTTTATTAATTCGTTTTTAAATTTTAACCTTCATTTGGGTTTACCAGCGGGTTTGGGAGAAAACCGCAAGCGGCACGCAAGTCTTCGTCGGTTACTTTATTACATATCCTCTGTAAATATAGACTAATTTCCCCCATTTGGGTCCTTTATACTCCGTCTTTTGTCCAACATAAGGCCTCATACTCAGCAATCGAAAAGACTCCGAACCGGTGACTAGGTGGGCATTCATACGACCAACCCTATACAGTTTTTTTCTCTTTTTTTTATACAAAGTCTAAGAAAAAGTACACCTATAAAAGACGTGAGTGCCGCATGAACTTATCTCCCAAAGCTGGCAAATGCAAATAAGGATTAAAATTTTAAAACTAATTAATAAAATTAATGTAAAGTATTTACAAAGTTAACAAAAAAATACTCTTTTTCGCAACATATATAAAGGACCCTTTTATTTTTCAAAAAACCTGTGCGACAGTTATTATCTTACGCCCTGTACTTTGCCATTCATAATGTGGCAAACACTACTTAGTAAGCAAAGTTAAGTGTGGTAGTGAAAAGGTGTAGGCATGGTCGTAGCAAGGTAGGTGCAGAGCGCTCGGGTATAAAAACCAGAAAAATATTAAATTAATTATAAGGCTTAAATTAAAAAACTGGCCATATATTCAGCAAGAGTTTGGAATTCTTTTGTAGAATTTAGTGGGGGAAAATTTCCTATAAGGGCGGTCATTGAAGAGGTGGTGAGCGAAGGGGGAGTGCGCGTAGCTCCCCCGACCACCTAGGCCCCCTATGGGTCCCTAGGGACGCCTTAGGAAAATCGCCAAATATCACAATTGGGTGCCATGCCCACTCCCCCTTTGATCACCATCTCTTTAACGACCGCCCTTATTGGAAAGCCAGCCCATTTAGTTATTTATTTTTAACATTTATTGTTGCCTTGAAAAAGATTTCTAAAATATCTTTGTTTATTTGTACCTAATTAATGGTAATTTGCAACAACAAATTGCACAAAAAATTAAAAAAAAAAATTGTACTCCTTTTCTAGGTCTTGTACTGCTTTTTTTCTATCGAAAATATAAATGTACTCCTTTCTCCGTTTCAAAATCTGGCAACCCTATGTCTAGTTGACACTAACTACACATTAAACATCGCTATCGACGCCCTGTTATAAATTATGGAGTCGATAACGATGTTTACCTGAAGTTTGTGTTAACCAACCATTCAGTTACCGGCCCTGGCGTCGTGCAATAAAGCCGTATGGTTTATTTCACTTCACATTTGGAAATAAGGCCAAATGGCTTAATTTCTATGGGGAAAGTGTAATGAAGCTATAACCGAAAATTTTATATATAAGAAGTAAATCCAAACGATCTTATTTCAACACCAAAAAGTTAATGTTGTCTCTTTAGCTGCGGTCCTCTAGATGAGTAACATCTCAAACAGTCAACGACGTAACGTAGACGTAGGTTGACGCAGACACGATCTACCTTATGGGATTCGCGTGTTAACGAAAACTCACCGCCGCATGGCGGTTACGTTGCCGTTGCTTCTCTCTCTCTCTATCAACAGCAAATTTGATATGCTGCTACGTACGTCAACCTACGTTTACGATACGTCTTTGACTAACTGCGCTTTAAAGGCCCGGCCATAGAAAGCGGTCTGCCGCGGCGGGAAGCGATCCACAAGTTGTCGTGACTTCCTACGGTATGAGGACGTCACACAGATCGCAATATTTTTATATCAGCGGTCCAGTGACTGGTTTTCTCCAATGATGATATACATACAGTGAATCAAACAATGACCATGTGTTGATTTTTTTTATATTCGTAATTTTTTTCAAGCAAATTTTTTGTTATTCTTCTATAAAAATACCGTCCAAGCTTTAACCAAAAACGTATAAATCATAGTTTCAAACTTTATACAAAATTATAGAAAATAATGTGAAAGTCCGGAGGTCCAAACGCGAGCTCAGGCAAAATACAAAAGCTCAATTTAGATCCGTCCGTAAATAAATGGTAGGTATGGCGATTGCAGTCTTTTCTTAAACCCGTCTTTTTCTAGTATGCCAATTGGCTTCTTCTTAAAACTGGGTTGAGTCAATGCCAAATATCATTCGCGATTTATTAAACGAAATAAACCTCTAGCTTCCGGGGGGCTTTTCAACTAGATATTTAAAGAAATAAGTTACACCTTTAATGCCTTTTCGAAACTAAGGCCTTTTCGAAACTTCTGCGAATACCGTATAACTTAGCTTGCTTTTGACCGTCGCACAGTACCACTGATTAGGTTTTTTGACATGCTGATCACGAATTGCATGTCAAATTAAAACCTTGACAGTTGACAGCAGTCAAATGAACAGCGGATTTTTCTAAAAATAAGAGAATAATTTTAAAAATGCCACTGATTAGGTTTTCTGACATGCTGATCACGAATTTTATGTCAAATTTAGACTTTGAGAGTTGACAGCTGTCAAATAATCTGCCAATTTTTCTAAAAATAAGCAAATATTTTTATACCCGAGCGCACTTGTGCACAAGGGTATATTAATTGGAAATAAGTTGGAGCGGTAGCGTTCGGAAAGGTGAAAAACATATATTTAATACTTGCGCCGGGTATTTAATGTTCGGTTCCGCCCGAACTTAGACTTTCTTACTTCTTTAAGATGCTTATGATGGTTTTATGGAATGTCCGGACCCTTAATGGGGAAGGTGCCTCTGCGCGGCTGGTTGATGTCCTCGTAAGGACAAAAGCTGACATCACCGCCATCCAAGAAATGCGTTGGACGGGGCAAGGCAAACAATGTCTGGGGCCTTGCGACGTCTACTACAGCTGCCATGTAAAGGAGCGCAAATTCGGAGTTGGATTTGTGGTGGGAGAGAGACTCCGTCGCCGAGTACTGTCGTTCACCCCGGTGGACGAGCGTCTAGCCACAATCCGCATCAAAGCGAGATTCTTCAACATCTCGCTCATCTGCGCCCATGCCCCGACGGAAGAGAAGGATGAGGCATCCAAGGATCTCTTCTATGAGCGCTTGGAGCGCACGTACGAGCGCTGCCCCCGTCATGATATCAAAATCGTGCTTGGCGACTTCAATGCCAGGGTGGGCAAAGAAGGGATCTTTGGAACCACCGTCGGAAAATTCAGCCTCCACGACGAAACGTCCGACAACGGATTGAGGCTGATCGACTTCGCCGGGGCCCGAAACATGGTAGTATGCAGTACTAGGTTCAAGCATAAAAAGATCCATCAAGCTACCTGGCTGTCTCCGGATCGAAAAACGAGAAACCAAATCGATCATGTTGTGATAGACGGAAGGCACGCTTCCAGTGTTTTAGACGTACGCACACTCCGAGGCCCAAACATCGACTCGGACCACTATCTTGTTGCAGCCAAGATACGCACCCGCCTCTGTGCAGCAAAAAATGTGCGCCCAAATATGCAAGGAAAGCTTAACGTCGAAAAGCTGCATTCACAACAGACAGCCAGCGCTTTCGCTACTCGACTCTCACACCTGCTCTCAGAGAGCACTCTTCAACAAACCGACATATGCGAGCAGTGGAACCACATTTCCCGCTCATTAAGTACCGCCGCCGAAGAAGTAGTCGGATTTCAGCGAGCCCGAAAGAACAACTGGTACGATGAGGAATGTCAAGAAGCCGCAGAGAAAAAAGATGCCGCCTACAGGGCCACGCTGCGATCGGGCGCAACGCGAGCCATGTGGGACCGTTATAGGGAACTGAAGAAGGAAGCGAGACGTATTTGCCGCAATAAGAAGAGAGAGGCCGAAATACGTGAGTGCGAAGAGCTTGAAATGCTGGCCGACAGGAAGAATGCCCGAAAATTTTACCAGAGAGTTAGGCGACTTACGGAAGGTTTAAAGACCGGGGCGCACTCCTGTAAGAACAATAATGGCGACCTAGTAACTGATGTCCAGAGCGTACTTAAATTATGGAGGGAACACTTTTCCGCCCTACTAAATGGTAGCAGCACGGAAAGTTGTGGAGAAGAAGAACCCGAGCCCGCAGTCGATGATGACGGAGTCGACGTTCCACCGCCTGACTATGACGAGGTACGTATAGCAATAACGCGGCTGAAAAACAACAAAGCCGCTGGAGCTGACAGCCTGCCAGCTGAGCTATTCAAGTACGGCGGCGAGGAGTTGATAAGGTGCATGCATCAACTCTTGTGCAGAATATGGTCAGATGAACGCATGCCCGACGACTGGAATTTAAGTGTGCTCTGCCCAATCCACAAGAAAGGTGACCCCGCCATTCGCGCCAACTACCGCGGGATCAGCCTTCTAAGCATAGGTTACAAGGTCTTATCGAGCGTATTGTGTGAAAGACTGAAGCCCACCGTCAATGAACTGATTGGGCCTTATCAGTGTGGCTTTAGACCTGGCAAATCCACCATAGACCAGGTATTCACAATACGCCAAATCTTGGAAAAGACCCGCGAGAAAAGGATCGACACTCACCACCTATTTGTCGACTTTAAAGCCGCTTTTGATAGCACTAAAAGGAGTTGCCTATACGCCGCTATGTCTGAATTTGGCATCCCCTCAAAACTCATACGGCTGTGTAAAATGACGTTGAGCAATACCACCAGCTCCGTCAGAATTGGAAAAGACCTCTCCGAGCCGTTCGCCACAAAACGGGGTTTCAGACAGGGCGACTCCCTTTCATGTGACTTCTTTAATCTGATGTTGGAGAAGATAATAAGAGCTGCAGAACTGAACCGCTCAGGAACAATTTACTACAAGAGCGTGCAATTGCTGGCTCATGCCGATGACATCGACATCATCGGTAACAAAAACCGCGAAGCATGGGTCTGGTGGTAAACGAGGACTTAGGAAGCAAAGCGCATGGGTCTGGTGGTAAACGAGGACAAGACGAAGTATCTCCTGTCATCAAACAAACAGTCAGCACATTCGCGCCTTGGCACCCACGTCACTGTTGACAGTTACAATTTCGAGAAAGTAGAGAATTTCGTTTACTTGGGAACCAGCATTAACACCGATAATAATGTCAGCATTGAAATCCAACGTAGAATCACTCTTGCCAACAAGTGCTACTTTGGACTGAGTAGGCAATTCAGGAGTAAAGTCCTCTCTCGACGTACGAAAACCACGCTCTATAAGTCACTCATCATGCCCGTGCTGGTATATGGCGCAGAAGCATGGACAATGACAACATCCGATGAGGCGGCTCTTGGGGTGTTTGAGAGAAAGATTTTGCGGAAGATTTACGGTCCTTTACGCGTTGGCGACGGCGAGTACCGCAGACGATGGAACGATGAGCTGTATGAGCTTTACAACGATATGGACATAGTGCAGCGAATTAAAATACAGCGGCTCCGCTGGCTTGGTCATGTCGTTCGAATGGACACCGACGCTCCAGCTCTGAAAGTATTCAACTCGGAACCCGCTGGTGGTAGCAGAGGAAGAGGGAGGCCCCCACTGCGATGGAAAGATCAGGTGGAGAAGGACTTGGCTTCACTTGGCGTTTCCAATTGGCGTCAGTTGCCACAGAGGGGAAACGACTGGCGAGCTTTGCTGAACTCGTCCAAAATCGCTTAGGCGGTTACAGCGCCAAAAAAGAAGAAGAAGAAGATGGTTTTAGACACGCTAGTCACGAATGTACGTCAAATTAAAACCTTAAGAGTTTACAAATGTTAAAGGGGCTGTCAATTTCTCCAGAAATAAGGAAAATTTCCCAAGTGCTAAACTTACACGTCTCTTTTTATGCGGATTTTATTCATGCGGATTTGAATTTATGCGGTTTTCAAACCATTTTTTCGCTGTAGCGATTTTGCTTTTTTTGAGGGTGTTTATTACTTGTTTTCAGTGTGTAAGAGACAATGCTTCTGATAATTAATTTGTCTTTGTATTCTTACATAATTCATGTATTTATTGTAATATTTTTTGTTTTTTTTTGGTTAGAATACAGACAAAATTTTATTTATTTCATTAATGTTCAGTCTTACATGGAATAATAAGTGTTAAAGTTAAGAAATAAATAAATATTTTTGCTTAATATTGCCTCATTGTAGTTTTTATAGGGTTTTTTAGAAGTTTTTACATGGAGTATCTGAATTTATGCGGTTCTTTGAAAATGCTGGAACGCATTGCCTGTTTTTGTATGAAAGTGAAGAAATTTTTTATACGGTTTTTTTTTATGCGGCTTTCTGAGGAACGCAAGTACCGCATAAAAAAAAGACCTAAGTGTACTATGTTTTAAGGCTTACTGATCTTGAGTTCTGCCATTTTCAGTTGAGTAACACAATATATTTGTTTAGCAAAATTTGATTTATTAAATATGACGGAACATATGCTATATGTTCAGCCCACACAATTTGACTTAGGCCTCAACAGTTTTTTTAAGTTTTTTTTTATTTTATACGAAATTTGTAATTTCCAAATCTTCAGTTTTCTCATTTTCAAATAAAGTTGTTAAGGTTTGGATTTTTGGAAATTTCGGACGCCATATTGGATTTTGCATTTTGAATTTTCAAGAGAAATTTGTAATGAGCGAGCTTAAGAACCTCAAATTACCAAATTTCATGAAAATTCAGCAATTTTCTAAATTCTTGGGCGTCATATTGGATTCGTTATTGGATTTTTGAAAGTTGACCCCAGCTTTTTTAAGACATTTCATATAAATGATATGATGCTAGATATAGAATAAATTACATTAATCTTTAATATCTTAATACACTTTATGTTATTTGGAACAACTGCTAAAGTTGGTCTAGTGAAATAAAAATGGACGCCACTATTTTTGGCGCAAGTATGCGCGGCTTTTCTTTTCGTAAATCCTTAAAGGGACCTTTGTATTACTTTTTGGTAAAGGAATGAAGATCCTACTAGGCCCTACTCATTAGTTATACCTTTTTGAATAAAATATTTCTTGAAAAAATAAGCCGTTTTATTAAAGTGTTCATAATTTAGCAACCAAGTTTTATTATGTAATATTTCATATGAAAACATAATTTTCCATATTTAAGAAGTAACGCCAAACCAGCAATTACTGTTGTAATTGAAATTTTCCATAAAAAAATTGTTAAGAAATGTATCAACTCATAATTCTTAGAACGTGCCACGAACGAATTCGTTGAATTAAGCGGATTCAACGGCTTGCTCAGCAGATATTATTTAAAATACTAATCAGTTTTGAGTTCGTTGGACATTTATGAATACGAATAGCTTTATTCCGGTTAATTTATCACAGTTTTAAAATATGCCTTTTTCGCGTAAAACATGGCTTCTCGGACCACTGTGCGTCGTAACACCAATTAAAACATTTAAAAACATTACTTTTAATGGATAGATGTAATTGTTGATGTTTTAAAACCACAAATGCTTTTGGTTAATACTTAATCTACTTACATGGGTTTCGATGCCTCAGCCTGGTCCGTTTGCAGCTTCTCGCCATTCTCCACTTCCATAGTACAATATACAATTCGATTGGGAGCAAGCGATTTAAGGCCCTTTACTTCCATGACTATAACTTCCAGTTGAAATGTGAGCACGACATCCAATTTCGTTAGTTGCGTTATGCCCTCATCTGCGTCACCTTCCAATTTCGAAAGTGAACCATGCGATCGCAATATCATCTTCCTACTTAAAAAATGCATTCAACAACAAATTGAATCACACTCATACTACGACTAATATTTACAATATCGACCCCTTTGCGCAAAATTATCGTATGCTACATTTTTTAATTTGTTTTTGTTATTTTATGGCCTTATAACAATTATATTCAACAATTTTTATTGAGTTCGAGGCCGTTTTTCTACATTTTTTAAGAAATTCACTTTTTGATGCAACTTTGTTTTACAACCCGTAACACATCACCTATTCAAATATTGCGGCTTGAATCCCAATAGAAACCCCAAAAATGTATTGTAAATTTTATCGTATGAGACAATGCATTTTTTTTTGTGGGCGAGATTATCATATGTGCTAAGAAATAAGAATGTTGAAACTTTACAAAAAAATATCTTGTGTTTAGTTTTATTTCTCAATTATCTCAGCAAATCTAAACTTTGGTATTAATGGTGCTAGCCAAAGCAGAGAAAAATACAAAGAACACTTTCCTGTAAAATTTGGTTTTTGTAACATACGATAATTTTGCGCAAAGGGGTTGATTTATGCTGGCAGAATTACTATATGGGGTTAAAGTTACTGACTAAAAACCCTGGACTTGCATAAATACTATGTAAAAACAGGATTCCTTGCGATCGTCTATAAAGAGTTGTATTGACTTACAGAAACGGTAGGATATAGAGAAGTTATTTGCGCATAAATACTTCGTGGTGGGTGCTCTTCTTGAGTGGGTTTTACACAAGTTGTTGCAAGGGCAATCTTTAGATCTATGCATTAGCTAGAATTCGAAACCGAATTGGTCAGGGCTTGATTCGTGAGAGCCGTGAATGACCAGTTCATGAACTAGGAGCTGAATTTTCGAACGACCAGTCGATCACAAATATCGGGTCTAAAGTACCGATACCTACTTATATCGATACTTTCGGCTGTGAAGGTATTCCGTATGAACTACATAAATTAAATTAAATTTTCTTAGGCATAAGTAAACATTAACTGGTTTGACCAACCACAGAATGGTAAAAAAAATCCAAATAACTACACTCTATAACTGTCAAAATGTACAAATCTGTATAAATGTACAAATCGTGTGATCCCTGCTTAAGATTTTTTTGTAATCAACTCTTTGTAGGCATCGTTTTCTTCTTTGTTTCTTTTCTTCAAAAACAGAGCTAGACTTCCATGCCTTTAGTATTTTGTGATAGTCTTTTCAGCGGGCAAGAATAAGATCCTTTTCACATGATGCGAACTAAACGCGCGTTTATAACTACGCGTATTTCGTTGCACATTACTCAAGGTTTTCACATGCTAACACAAGTTAAACGCAAGTAAATTCGTGTAGATGTTAGTATCAAAACGCGTGTTACTCTTCCACTCGAACAGTTTTACCTTGTATACGTTGCATTGTATAAATTTTGGTGAAGCAATTGGAGCGTATATTCTTTGCATTACATCGACTTTGTCACATTCTCGCGGTTTTTGCTGGCAAATAAGCAGCCATGAAGAACAAGGCGCTTAGGAATGCCAGTTGAGGAAAAATTGCTGAAGTCAAATTTGCCTTAGTATCGGGTTTCGATACGAGTATTTGTTTTTCGACACCTACTCAGTAGAACTCCTAAAGAGTTCTAGAGTTCATGACTGGAAATTCCAATAGTTCCGTGGAATTCCGGGCAGAAATCGAAAAAAACGATTGGGGGGCCAACTTCACGCGACCCCCTTTTTTTCCAGGAAAACGAGTTCTGATGCCATACTCTAGTTTACGAGAAAGAGTTCTAGAGTTCTGATAGGGTTTTGTAATAGTTCTGGCAAAAAATCAATTTTTTTTTATTTGAGAAATTTTACCTAATTCTGTCACCGTTTACATATAGTGTAGAGAAAATTAATAACATAGCGCTTATTAAATATTTTCGTAAAATCTTTTGAGAATTCGGCCAATAGTGCAAAAGTTATAGGCAAAAACAAGGGCAAATTTTTGTCAACGATAAGATTAAATTTTTTTTTCAGTTATGTTGAGAGTTCTGAGTTGCCCTCCGAGAGTTCTAAGCAAAACTCCTATACATTTTTTTCGTCTGGCCAATAGTGCAAAAGTTAAAGCAAAAATAAAGGGCAGATTTTATTAACAAAAATATTTCATTTGTTTTTCAGAGCTCTGTTAAGAGATCTGACTAGCCCCTCGAGAGTTCTAACTAAAACTCTTATAAAGTTTTTTTGTCCGACCAATAGTAAAAAACTTATAAGCAAAAACAAAGGGCAAATTTTTATTAGCCCCTCGAGAATTCTAACTAAATCTCTTATAAAGTTTGTTTGTCCGACCAATAGTAAAAAAGTGATAAGCAAAAACAAGGGCAAATTTTAATCAACAAAAAAAGGCGTGTGTAGCACCGTGCACATGATAGAAGTGAAACTTGTTAAAAAAGGTGTGAGTACCAGGTATGTAGGTAAATGTTTACAATGCAATCAATAGATCACTACGAATTCGCCAAGGCACTTTTGTTTGCAAAATGTATTTATTTAAGTTGAAAGAAGACAAATTCCTTTGTTCGGTATTTCTTCTTACTCGCTTTCTATCTACCAAGGCGAATTCATATATTCTTATCATGAATTGATATATTCATGTGGTAGCAAGAATATAAAAACACAAAATTACCTCATAAATTATACGCACAATTATCACGTTTATGCGTAGTCCAATTCACGAAATCATTTCATGGATCTGAGTAAAAACTCAGTGCATAAACTCCATTTCGCGTATAATTGAAATCATGAAATGGTGTTCATGCATAATGGTAGGAAATGACAGAATGAATTACAACAAACACATCATTTTGACTTAATGCAAGCCATAAACGTTGCGACCGTTGGTTCAGATCGATCCGCAATTAAGTTGGACGTTTTGCCCACAAGCATTGCAATTTTGCGAGCAGTCTAATTGTCAGAGAACGGATTTTATATGGAAATTGCCTTTTTTCTGCTAAAGAGATAGAATATATTCGATTAAGAATGTCCACGATTTAGCTTTCCCTAATTCCATATATACAAATTTTCTTCTGTAAAATTTCCTTAAAGCAATACGCAGTTCTTAAGAAATTTGCTACGCTTTCTAGTATGGTTTTCTAAAGTTTTTTTTTGTGAAAAAAGAACACAAAGTAACCCATTTTTGCAACAGAAATATATGCCCGTTCCATTATTTTGTAAGGAAAAAGTGAGACAGCAGGCTGTATAATATCAGATGTCCTTGAACACTACTATTCACACACACGAAATAATAGCAATTTATTTCTTGACCGTTTTCTCAAAAGGTCCATACTTAGCTTTAAACATTGAAATGAGAAAAATAAGCATGATCGTTAAAATTAAGCTTGGAAACCCTGAATAAGCAAAATAAGCAATTCCAAGCAAAAGTTTAAAGAGAGATAGGTGAAGTCGCCTTGCATGAAGTTATATCAGCTATTTCGGAGATCACCACATCTCCTCATCAGACTTAAGGTTAGATAAATTAGATTATGCTGGAACATAATGGCAGCAATTCTTAGTAAAATTTATGCACAAAGAATGTAAAATGATACATAGGTATCAAATTAAAATATTTAATGTTCAAATAATTCCTTATTATAGTAAAAACCAAAACATGTCATCTAAATTAACACACATAACATTTTCACTCTTCATCGACATAAGATCGAAGATCTGTAAGACCCCTTGTCCGCAGTTAAAGGTTAAAATTAAGATAATTGTTCATTATTATGTATAATAAGGGTGATTTATGATAGCAAGAAGTTTCACTTCAATCACGCGTTGGATCCACACGCAACTTTTTTCAACAACTGAAACTACGAAACAACATTTTCTCCTTGGTAGTCCAGTCTTCGTGAGATTCAAATATGTTGAAGCACCTTCGCTAGCACTACTTTGGTATTCATACCCTGTGGGGAAAACCTCTAGTTCTGAACTGGTGCGCTTCTAGTACATTTAGATCCAGTTCGAGAGAAATCTGTTTTGAATGCAAACAACTGTCGAATTTAACATGGCGAATCTTTTTGGTTCTTCCGTGTCCGTGATTTTAAATTATTTTCAAAGAACTGTGTTTTCAATTTGAAATTAAATCTGTTTGAATGATTGTAAGAAATGTACGTTTACATACCTTTGGCTGTAGCTGAATTTGCAGAGGTGCTTGCTGTTATTGGTTAGATTCCAGACGATCCCAAAATTTTAAAATGTTAACACAAATTTTTGTTTTGTATTATCAGGCTTTGAAAATGCATCTGAGAAGTGCAGAATGGAAGCATATTTGAACGAAAAAGCCGCCAAACACATATCTATGTAAAGTAAACAAGACCCCGCTGCATCCCTTTTTAGATAGTTCTGAACTAGTTCTAAATTCCGACAGATAAGATCTAGTTCGTTCTGCCTGCCTTATCCTACAGTTGCGAACCAGTTCTAAATTCGTCACCTTAGATATGGATTTCTAATGGAAAAAGTGAAATAAAATAGATTTTTAAAACTATCTCATTTTGCTGATTTTGGACTGGTGGGGATCTAGTTACTATCGGACTGGTTCGTTTTTGGCGATAAAGATCTACTACGCAACTAGAAATTTGATTCACTAGTCCGCGGTTTCCTGCAGGGTATTAGCCGCTTTTGAAACTTTATTATCAGCAAGCGGCGAATCTATTGCTAGCATTGTGAGTACAATTAATGGCTTTTAGTGGACAGTTTCTTAAATCTCTGAAAATGTTATTGTGGTTTTTATTGCGCCCTGACTAGAAAAGCCATTCTGCACTGGAAAACTCGAACTGAATCTACTACAGTTTTCTTGGTGATGTATAAGAGATATTTCATAAGGATTAAACTTACAGAAACGATGGAGTGCTGCAATAGAATGAAATTTGATTACATTATTTAGTTATCCAAGCGAAAATTAATCAAATTTGTACCTATGATTATAGCGTTTGAGCTTTTGCAATCCGTACTTGCTATCCATATTACCTTTGGACACGGGTAACGATTCTAAATTCGCCATTAAAAGATTTATAGATGATTTAAGCTCTTCGATATAGAGAGATTCCATTTCCTTAAGCACAAATTTTGGCATTAATTTTCGATTCTTTTCCATTTCACTAACTCGCTGCATTCTCCCGTCTAATTCACGACGAATCGCTGCTGCTTGCTCATCCGCCGAATCCAGCTATTAGTAAAATTGGTTGAAAGCGAGAAGCAGTGACAAAATGTAAGGTAAGTGATATTATTTTCATAAGAGTTAATTTTTAACTCACCATTAATGCATTGAAAAGAATTTGATGTTCAAATTTTTTAACACTTAATATCTGTTGGAACATGTCGTATAACTGTTCCTTAGATAAGATCAATTCACTGTTGAGCGATTGTTGCATTCGTGAAGGCCGTTTTGAGTCTTCCTCACCGGTGCCCTTAAGTATTATGTCAAATTTGGCCATCCAGGATGTGAGAACAGTCTCCTTACTAAGACCATCGATTTCTGGCAAGGATCTAAAATTTGAAGGGGTTTGAAAAAATTACTAAAATTATGTGTGTAAATAAAGTTCTAAAATGGTTTCCATTAGATAAAAGACTTCACAATTGAGCTGTCTGAAAGTGTATAAAGTTGATAGGCGTTTTGTGAATTGGATATACCTAAGTAAATGAGCAATTTTCCTTTACCTCACACGTTTTTCGATGTTGTTGCGGAAGACTTCACGGAAATCATGCTGCGAGCAAGCCCCAGAGAGTACCATTTTTTGTACGCGTTCTGACTTTAGGAAAACATCGTGATAACTCTGTACAGCGTTTTGGAATGCCTCATCAGCCATTATTTGCGTCTCACCTTTCAGGAAAGCCTGCGCAAAAGGTAAGAAAATTTTTTTAATAAAAATACAAAATAATTGTGGTTTAAGTTTTCACCAAAACAAGTGAGAACATACTATGTACCAAGGCGCATCTATACAAGGTGGTGTTACTTTAATAGCTGTTATGATATTTTTGTCTCTACACTAGTACAGCAGAATGTCATCCAAGTCGAAATGGTGTAACTCCAGGATGTCAACAAAACGAAATGGCGAACATTTTCTCCTATTTTCTTTTGTTTTGACATCCTGATGTACCAAAAAGCAATAACAAAATACACGGGACTTTTACTTATATGCAATTGCTACCACCTTATATGGATGCGCCTTTCTATGTACGTAACGAAACACATACTTGGAATCGCTGAGTGATCGTCTCCAGTTGTTGCTTGGCAATTTTCGGCTGTCGTTTGGTCATGTCAGTCGGTTGTTTAGCATTGAATGGATACGATATACAACGAGAAACGAAAACATACAATTGTATACGCCGTTTACGATCCTCTTCCTGACGTTCATGCTTCTCCTTAAATTTGCAAGAGACTAGGAATTACAATGCAATTGATACAAAACTTGTTGTCTATAGATATATACATATAATATTTTTGGTCGTGAAATATTAGTTTTTAAAAACCTCATTTGAAAGCTTACTTCGAGAGTAATTTAGCAAATAAAATAAAAAGTAAAACCCCCCAAAATCCTATCGAAGAAGTTCAAGTAGGTATGGTTGGAGTAGTTCCCGGTGAGTCACACTTAAGCCCTTGATTTGGGTGCTTTGTGGTCGATTATTCTATCCTTAACTTTGCCGAAATTCGCCGAATTTCGCCGAGCCCTTCTCTTTCTCTCGCCTCTACAGCTTCTGAAAAAGTTACGTGCCGCTAACCTGACAGCATTGCGTGATTCTGAATTAATCAAAACACAAATCAAGAAATCGAATTGATTTTTAAATTAAAGGACGTATCAAGCATAATTTCTTATGGTCTGATTATGGAAACTTAACGTAACTTACATGCACTCATTTAGACATTCTCTTAAATGGATGTTGCTTATAATTGAACAGCCGAATCTTAACGTAACGTAAAGCCACGTCGAAACTATTTCTTTTTGATTTTCTAAGTTCTACGTTCCGTTAAGTTAAGTTGAAGTATACAAATTAATTATATAATTTACAAAGAAAATTGAAATTTCTCAAAATTTCCCAAAAGTGGCGGGTGGACAACGATGACACCCGCCTCTCTGAGTTGATGGATTCGTGTCCCAATTTTAGACAAACTATGTATAAATATTTCGTTCAAAGCGCCTTTCTCGTATGTAGCTAATATAATGTTAAGGCCCATTTTATGCTTTAATGGCATTATCATATTTGAAAATTAAAAAAAAAAAACTCCTTTAACTTGTGGTGGGTGGGACAGTATTTTGTGACGGGTGGGATGAGTCTCTATTGAGGATGCAAAGTTCGTGAGTAAAATGGGCTCCACTTGTTTAATATGAATATTTATTATACTTTTAATAAAATTACCTTATTTATACGATGAGAAGCTTTCGTACTTTCATAGTTAAGTTAAAAAGGAGAAAAATTGGCTGTGACAGGTGGGACATTCCATGATAGAATTATATACAGATGATGTCAGTAAAGTAGTAGTTATTTTCAGTGATGCCCCCTTTGCCTACATTCAATTATCTTTCCATACAAAATGGGAGCAAATTATACTGCTTCTAATATTTTCTAATAAACGTATGCGTTGGGACTACTGTTTTCCTCTTGGCAATTTGAATAAATGTTTATACTTTCATTCGTTTGCTGAAAAATTTAAATTCTAGTTAAATCATTGATTAGCGGAGTTTTAAGTCATACTCGCGCCTTGTGGGAATGCAAATTTAAACGCAAAGTGCGTATTATATTTAGTTCAAATAGCCAAGTAGCCCTTCGCTTGCATCTTTTGTATTTAAATACATTTGTATGTGTATGATTGATGAAGGTTTGCAAGTGTAATGAAGTTACGCTTGGAAACGTCTTCGTAAGTACTCATTTTTTACAGCGCATTGGTTGTTGGACTACGTCGAACTTGCGCAAAGTTTTGTGTTTCACCAACATGATAATGAAAAGTCACTCAAATGAGTATTGATAAGTAAAAAATCACTTAACCCTAATTCCGCGCGGTATTCGATTTCCGCGCGATATTTCAGGAACGCTTTTAATGATCAAAGTAAACGTTCGTGCCAACTCAGCTTAGCGCTGTACGAGGCTGTTAGCAAAGGCACATTGTACGGTGGCCTGCGCGGCTGATTTCCACGCCCTCTTGACGCCTGACAGGCGAACGTTAGTAGTAAAGGTAATTTTGTTTGCTGTTCTTATTTCAGTTGTTAACACGATTATTGGCTATTTTCTGTTTTGAACTTAATTTTTTTTTTACTTTTCTAGAGGGGTTTCTATGAAGAACAAGTCCCAAAATGGTTGGAAGAAATATCGTTGAGTGGAACGATAGTGAGAACAATTTGGAAGAAGATTTCAGTGAATGCGCCTTATGAATAAAAACTAAGCAGTTGCTTTTTCTTAAGATTTCAAACCTTTTGCTTGATTTATTCAAATAACTTTACGTAAAAGATCTGAAATTTTAAGAAAAAAGCATAGCTTAGTTTTTATTCATAAGGCTCAATGTGATACAAAAAGGTTGATTTCATTTTTAAGTACAGGTCACAATAGAAAAGATAAACAACTAATTCCTTTTAAGTGTGAAAGTAAATACGAATACCTTTAAGATAATTTATGGATTGTTTGAGTGCGTTCGCTTTTAAATGTTTTTTTTTTAATTTTTGAAAATCACCCCTTTCAAAAAGATTATAAAATATGTGTTATTTTCAATACGAATTATTTTTATTAATATTAAAAAAATATTAAATTATTTTCTTTTTTTACTTTAAAAACATATGAAATATGTTTAAGCCCATTTTTTAAACAAATTTAAGGTTTTAGAAAGACAGAATTTTTCTTTTTTTTTTAAAGTAGCCTCACAGGCGAACGTTGGTATTAAAGGAATAAAAAATAAGGTTAGTATTCTTGGGTCAAAATCATAGATACGCCTTGCAAAATTCGAAATGCTTAGCGAAAAGATTTCATTTATCACTTGTCATTTTTCATTTTGCTAACTTTAGCATTATTTTGCTAAAAATAATTGTATCTATCATACCAGTTATAAGTTACATTTATACAGTCTGAATGAATTAATCAGTGCTTTAGCACGTGGTTCGATAAAATATAGACACAAGAAGTGCTTCGATTCGAAATATTGAATTTATTATAGGACAGTATGCAAATAATAAAAGGCGTGTCATAAAAGAAGAAATCAACTGCAGTATACACATTGATGTAGTAGAAAAATTGCGGCTATCTCGTAGCCAAATTGAATTTTTTTTTTTAAATTGGAGCGAACCTATAATGCAACAGTGAGCGTAATAATGGCATGGTCGAATGCATGGGGTCCACAAATTAGCGCTATGTAGAGTAATCTATCGAGTGGCAAATGCCATGATAAACAAATTGATGGATGAAACTATTTATTGGCCGGAATTTACGCAAAATATTGCGACACAATTTTTAACATTGGTGGATTTCCTTAAGTCGCAGGGTACATTGATGGAAGTATGATAAACATAGGCGCCCCTAAGGTCACTGAGTACCAATTAGTTAATCGGTAAGGAAATCATTCAATTAGTGGAATGTGGTTTTTGTTACTGAATTATTTTGGAAAGATCCAAATAAATAATCCTAAAATGTAGAAAAATATAGTTATTTATATAAACATACATATATCCGCCCTGTGCCCGGGTGGGTAGCTCTGCTGGTGGCAAGAGTATAGAGGTAAAGAAAATAGAAAATTGCCGATGTAATTGAGAAGGTTAAAAGATTTCGTTAGAAAAAGTTATTGTTTCGTGTATAACACAGGGCAACACTGATTTTGTTTCCTAAAATGTAAAAGTTGTTTTTGATAGACTTTCTTGTGCTGATTACGAATCTGTAAGTATAAAGTTTCCATCAGCTTCAGATTTTGAGAAAAACGTGGTCAAAGTATCAAAAAATCGATTTGTTTTGCAATATTTGAAAAGCTCTAGCAAAATAAAAAACAAAAGGTGATAGAACCTTCCACTTGGGCTTAGATTAAAGCTAGAACTCTCGGCTACTATCCTTGAAAACACCATTCGTTCACCTTGACTTGATTGTCACTTAAAGTCATTTATTGAACGATAACAAAATACTGGAGTATTGCGCTATTGGAAGGAAGAAAATTGTGCCAAAATCCGTTTTTGCTGTTCAATAAACGACTATAAGTGACCTTAGGGTCAAGGTCCAGGGATGGAATTGCAGGTATTGTGGTTGAAAGTTCAAGCCTTAATTTAAGCCTAACCCCTCTATTCTAACAGAGTCACAAAACTCACATCACAGCAGTGATGAGCTAAAGTTTGTGACTTTGTTAAAATACGGCTGTAAGTGGAAGATTCTACCACCTTTTGTTTAATTGTGGCAGGTACTCAAACTTCAGTTTTTACTATTCAACAAATGACTATAAGTGACCATCAAGTCAAGGTGCACGAATGGTATTTCCAGGGATAGTTGTGGAGAGTTCTACCTTTAATTTAAGCCCAAGTGGAAGGTTCTGTTACCTTATGGTTTTTTGCTAGAGCTTCTCAAATTATGCAAAAAACGTAATTTTGATGCTTTGACCACGTTTCTCTCAAAATCTAAAGCTGATGGAAACTTTATACTTACAGATTCGTAATCATCACAAAAAATTCTATCAAAAACAGCTTTAAGATTTTAGGAAACAACATTTTTCCTAAATTTTTTTGTGCTGTGTATTACATTTATTCCTCATGCATACTAATGTTTATATTTCATGGAAGTTATCATTTAATCAAATTTCGAAAAAAATTTTATTTCTGCAGTGAAAACACGGCCATTCGTTTTGAATTTCGAGAAATGAAGACGGCTATGAGTTCATGGGTAAGAGTGCAATATTGCTACATGGTTGAGCCGTTTCTGGTGCATTGCCGAGCGCAAATAATTTTTCTGGTGTTCCAGAATATCCCATAAATCCCTAAACCCAAAATCCCCAAACACAAAATCCCCACACACCGTCGTCAAAAGAGGCACGATTCAAAAATTAGATCGAGAAATATAAGTGCTAGTTGATCGTACAGATTCAACAAAATTGATGCAAAAACAAGTATAACAGTTTTCTGGTTAGAGAATATAATGATAAAGAAAAAAATATTTTCATTAATTTTAGAAATATCCCACAGATTGATTTATACAAAAACATCGACCAAATTATTTTTCTATTGCATAATACTTTAGCAAATATAAATATGCGGACAGATATATTTAAAGCAAAATTTATGATGTGCCTTATTAAAAATTTGTTGATTAATTTTTATATTCGTACAAGATTTGAGTTGAAATTTTAGAGTTATATGAAAAGTGTAAACAAATATTCTGCCTAAAAATGTGGTAGATTTTAAGCCTTGTGT